CAAAAAATGAGGACATTCAAGTTCATATATTTTATGAAAAAATATCGTGAATCAAAGTGAATATAAACATATATATGTATATAATGGGTTTCACACGAATACAAATTTATATATATATATATATAAGTTGATATACCAAGTTTTGAAATACCATATTAGCAAATTTTGCCATACTCAATTTTGTAATAAAAAAAAAAAAAGAAAAGAAGTAATTTCTTCAAGTTCTATTTAAGTTTGCATTTTAGTAATAAATTTTTTGTCTAGGAGGGAGCGTAATTCAATGCATTTGAAATAAAAAAATATCAATTACATTTTTCTTTATGGAAGAGATAGTAGTTCACCACTGAAGATGACTCTGTTTGAGATTGAATTAAAACAAATTCTTCAGCTTCTTCTTTAATTGATTTGATAACAACCGTAAAAACTATATGTGAATTTATGTGAATTACTTTCTTGTGTGTTTGTATTTTGTTCTAAGTACATTTTGTGTTGTATTGACACCATAAATTGTCAGTGGTAGTTTGAAAAAATTAAATTTAATATTTCCAATAAGGAATTAGAGTTTTTAATTTAAAAAATATAAAATAATTAAAAGCATGGAGGTTTGAGGATATTTTTTTAAACAAGAAAAACCTGAGTTCAGGAATTATATTTTAACAATCATTCATCGAACCAGACGTAATTGTCTTGCCGAACAGAATTTAATTTCAATTGCATTGTGGAGAATTAACAATAATCATATAATATATCGTTTTACAATTACGTTTTAGGGCATCCCATAATAATAGGGGACGAGGGGTTAAATGTAACTATCTTGGATTATTAAAAAATTACATAAAGTACTAAATATTTTCATTACATGACTGTTATACAAAATTTCGAAGATTTGAATTTTCCGGCTCCTGAGATGGTCATCCCCACGAATAGGTGGAAATAACAAACTCTTCTTCTCTCACTTTCTCTATCCAACTACAGAGACCCCAAGGGCTGAAACAATGTCTTCAAGGAAATCAAACTTTCAAATGGCGTTACGAAAAAAATAAAAGTGGTTTCCAGTCATTAAACTTTTCTTTATCTGCTTGTCACACTGTGAATTCTAAGATCGACCAGTAAACAAGAAATTGTGAACGTTATTAAATAAAAGAAAAAGAAAGTGTATTTTAAAATCTTTAAGATTAAAAAAACAAAGCTCCGTTACCATTTATGCTTTTCCCGATAATTTTGATTAGACCTCGTTTATATATGATATTAAAATATATATTAAAAAAAAGACAATAGGAAAACTGAATCCGAATTAATATTAGATAAAATTTTCTTTCAATGTCACAGAAATTTAATGAACGAAAAACAGAATCTATTTTTATTGAAAAAAATATGATTCAGATAGATGTTTTTTTTAAAATTTAAAATTTTTGTTGCATGTTGTTTCAGAGCGATCTTTAAATTCTTTAAGAATTTTTTTAACCATGCTTATATTTATTTTTTTGTATTTGACATCTTCGAGGATATATTAATGGTCTTTTTGAAAAAAAAATAGGGAAAAAAAGTCTTGGTTTTGCTCAATATTTGACTTCTGGCAAGTTAATATTTAGATTTTAAAAAAATTTCTGAAACTTATATATTCCATCTTCAGTAATATTTCAATTCATCTTAAGACAAATAATGGTATCGTTTGTCTGAAGTATCTTTTTTGTTTGTTTCTTGGTCAAACCGTTAACAAGATCCCAATGTACACTGAAATTTTTCTAAAATTTTTTTTCCATGTTGTTTTTTCATGGATGGAGACTTAACTATCCATTTAAGAATTGAATTCTTGTTAAAGGTTCCAGCTTATTTGCTTTTAAAATTTGTTTCGTTTTTGGGCTTCATATTTCTCAAAAGAACTCGATAGACTATAAGAAAAAAGAACATTTGTACTATTCATAATTAATTTTGTTAAATTTTGGTTTCAATTTTTTGAATAATTTTTCAACCTTCAAGAAGAATTTGTCGATTTTGTGTTTTTTCGTTCTTGGTGACATATTGTTTAGGCTAATATTCTTCGAAAGTTTCATTTCCAACCGTCGGTATAAATCGCGATTTGTGCAATGGACATAAATCATTCATTGCCAAATTATATATATATATATATATATATATAGTTCACCCGCCAATGAGTCAAATATAGTCTTAAGATGGGGCTATATTTATGGGACGGTTTCCTCACTTGTATGAAAAATAGATTTAGTGTGTAAATAGATTGTCTGAGCTGGAACATAGATTGTCTGAGCTGGTCAGATAAGATTGAAATCGTCAAGAATTTCACGCTAACATGCAATCGTCAATGGTGGAGACGATTGAGGAGAGAAGGCCTGGAACGGATTGATACTATTTTCAGCATATACGCCAATATATATCTTATATATATATATATATGAAGAATATATGCAGAAAAATTTCATTGAATAGTTTTTAACAGACAAAACTTGGGGGTTTGAGTCAATAAGTTTTTTGGAAGTCATATTTCCAAATGGCATGCCATCTTATAATTTTTTCTTTTCAGAATAAATTATATAATATCTTATCTTTTTTTCTCTTTATCAAGGCGAAGATCTATTCATTTAGCCATTTTCAAAAGGAAGTTGAAATACTTTACCGGGATATTACTGCTAACCTGTTTGTTCATGTATGTATTTATATAATGTTTCCATTTAAAAACACGGTCACAAAGACGACCGTCATCATGAAAACAACTTTTTGCAGACTAAATCTTTGGATCCTGTCTTTGCCGATAGAAGTTCCATATCAGAAGAATTCCGGATTATCTATCAACTATATTTTAAATTCTGTGAAGGTTATAGAATTTAGACTGGATTCGATGTTTTTAAGTTTTTATAGCCATTTCTGTTATTTTTACTAAAAATCTTAAATTATATAAATACGAAATTATAAATTCTAAAGTTTTCACATTCAATATAAGAACTCGTCCGTCACCATTAAATTCCATCTCCTTTTGGAAGCGGAATGAAAACGCGCAAATCTTGATCTCTGTCTGGATGGAATAAAAAATTTTTAATGTCGTATTGAAGAATGAGAGGGGTTTATTTCACACGGCCTCGCCATCAACATTAACTAAATAGCCAGACCGCCATGTACAACCCTCAAAAAGGAGAGGATAGTTTGCTCTGATGGGTTATCAATCGTTTGGTAAATGCGAAAACATAAAAAAAAAAAAAAAATGAAAGAGGGGTTCAAACAGATGGACGACTGGTATTTATTTTCCACATCCACAAAAATTCAGCACAAGGCTGAGGGAGAGAAATAAGGAGGGGCTGGTCTTCATTCACTTAGTCCTAGCTACTAAGATTCAACAACCCATTTATACATTACAATTTACTTATGTTTACAGATTTTATTCATCAATTCTCAAAAGCCAGTGGACTGCATATTAAATTCGGAAAAAAAACACATGACATAAAAAATCACAGGTTATAACATACAAAAATGTTAAAGTTTTTTTGTGATATATTATGAAACTAGTGAGAACAAAAAAAATTAAAAAAAACTTAAAACTTTAAAGTCCACCAATAGAAGGTTAACCAATCAGAAGACGTAGAATATTCAATCCGTCGTGTATAAAGGCGGCTATAACGGAGACTCTAAAAGAATGTCCAGTAGATAGATAGATTAGATAGAGGCGAAGAGAAAAAAAAAGGACGAATGTATTAAAAAAAGAAAGAACTGAAATAAAAAAATAGAAACTGCTAAATGTATTAAAAAGAAAGAAAGAAATGTATTAAAAAGAAAGAAATGAAATAAATAAATAAAGATCATCGACTGTATATTGTTATTTATTGTGTAAAATTACACAATTATGGCACAAGGCCGAAATGAGGAGAGGTTGAGGCTGGTCGTCACTAACTATCTTATACCTAGCTAATCCGATTCATGACCCATTCATTCATTACAATTTTCACAGACACCACAAAAACTCGTCCGTCACCAATCAATCCTCCATGCACCATAATACCGCATCCTCTCAAGAGGGTCCTACAAAACGCGCCCCATACCATAAAAAATTAATGATAATAAATTATTATACATAAAAATCAAACAATGAAGAATGAGAGGGGAGGGTGATGAACCCAATAATAAACTAAAAATCAACACAAAGTAAACTCAACATAACTATATTCATTGTATATAAGAATACAATTGTGGCACAAGGCTTAAAAAGGGAGTTGGCGGGGGGGTTGAGGCTGGTCTTCACTAACTATCCTATACCTAGCTAATCTGATTCATGACCCATTCACCCGTTACAATTTGCACATTCAACACAAGAACTCGTCCATCGCCAACCAATCCTTCATACGCCATAATACCACATCCTCTCAAGATGGGGACCTACAAAACGCGCCCCATAAAATTTCATGATCATAAATAAAATGAAAAAATGAGTGGGAAGGGAGATGAGCCCAATAACAAATTAATCATGAACACAAAGTAAACTTAAATATAACAGATGTTAGTAGGGGCCCATCCAACCCTCAAAAACGAGAGGTCGCTGTATTCTGCCCATTGTGCAAAATCAAGAGAGACGAAGTTCTCAACAATATTGGGGGAAAAAAATGTTTAAATATGCATTCTCTTTGCGAGGCAGGTTACTGCTCGCTTCCGATTGGTTAATAATTGTGCCCTATAGCTATTTATAAAGACAATCTAATCCACGTCATACCAGCGCCATATTTTTTTTATCGCGTTGAAGCAGCTACGTTTTCTAAACAAGAGAGGAAAAAAAAATGCAATCGAAATATTACCTTCTAATTATTAACGTAATACTCCTTCTGTCATCCTTGGGGATCTTTATCGTAGGCGGCATTGTCAAAAGTGACTTAAACGCTAACTACAGCCTATTCCGTGAGCATGTCAACAATCCACTTGCTTTCCTGATCACGTTTGGGGTTGGCCTTTGCCTTGCCGTTCTAATTACATTCATCAGCGTCTACCGGCAGAATCACGTTATGTTGTCTCTCTACATGTTCGTGATGGCTCTTCTGGTCGTCATCGAATTATCCGTAGGAATTGCCATCTTCGTAACCAAGTCTCGCGTACTGAGCCTGATCACGCAGTCTCTGCGTTCTGCGGAGTCCGTGTACAGTAGCGACCACGTCGCAGCTCTCGCCTGGGATTCCGTACAGCGTGGCTGGAGATGCTGCGGCCTTTATCGATACGACGAATGGTTCCGTTACTTGGGCAGGTCTTCTCTTCCCCGCTCTTGCTGTGTTCGCTACAGCTCCGACTGCGGTAACGACGCCGTCCAAACCGGTAACTTCTACCAGACCGGCTGTGCTAGTGCCCTATCTCAATGGGCTTATAAAGCAGAAATCACTACCGCGGTTCTCACTACGTTCCTGATGTCGCTACAACTCCTCTCTCTGCCTTTGGCTCGACGCTACCAACGGATTCTTCATTAGTGCAATTCTGTAGAATACCTGGCGCTAACGAAACTTGTAAGACTGTACCTTAAGATTCAAAGAAAAAAAATACGGAAAATAACTCCTTTATGGGCGAATTCTCGATGTGTATGCTGGGGTTTGTTTGGCAACTCTTCTACTTTACCAATGGTTGAATCTTCTCCAAGATGATTTTCTTTCCGATATCTGAAAAAAAATATTACCACAAGTGTCAAAGAACACTTTATAAACGTATTAACGTTTTCTTTGAGTCTAAAACGTGAACGACTATTAACCTAATTCTCACCATTTGTGGCAGTTTTTTTTTTTTTTTTTAAATTATTAGCTTTTCTCTTTATATACAGAAAAGTTACAATTTGCTTTCAAATTAATGTGGACATTTAATTTGACAGTAACATTTAACTTAATTTTAAATCGCTTAATTTTCTTGGTTGCTTTAAGATAGAATTTATCTTGCATAATATTGGAATGTTAAAGAACTGTTTATTTAACCGCTATGAATTCTAATAAACCATATTAAAAAATGGATGGCGTATTAACACTTTGATGTGTACCCCAAAAATACATAAACCAAATGTCGAATAACTATCTCTACAAACTTGTATCTGGAAAGAATACAGCAATTAAATGACTCTATTAAAATCCCCTTTACAAACTCTTACAAAGACTATATATTCTATAGATAGGAATATATTCTAAAAAATCTCGTCTGCCTTAAAAAACACATTGAGGTTTATATGCCATAAAATAGCCAATTTTCAATCTATCTAGATTTAAACCTTTTACGGTAGTTTCAGATTTCAACCTCGTTGAGGATTATAACGTTAAAAAGTAACATTGTTTACTGTATGAATTCCGAAAGGAGCATTTTCAACAGGCACTTACTAGAAATTTATATCTATTGATGATGGCTCTCCACAATTTCCTGTGCTTTGTAGCTCTTAATAAATTTTCTGTTTGCAGTTTCTCCTAAATCTGTTCTGTTAATCATTTACCCAAGCTCGTTAATCTAAGAGTCTTGTCACTTCAGCGTGTGGTAAATTATGGCTCCCCACAATTTCCTGTGCATGGTAACTCTTAGTAAATTTTGTCATCTCTCCGAAACCCTATTCCTCGAACCATCTACACAAGCTGATTCTTCTTTCATGGCTCTCCCCAACTTTCTCTATTTTGTAGCTCTTAAGAATTTTTGCCTTTTTGCTATCTATACTAATCCCCTATACTGCCGATCATTTACAAAAAACTCTTCTTTCATGGGCCGGGTCCCTTCAGAGCGTAGACGATCATGGCTCTCCACAATTTCCTTTCCTTTTTAGCTCTCAGTAAATCTTGTCTCTTCGATAACTCTCGTAATCGCTGTTCTACCAACTATTTTCACAAACTCGTTAGATCTCTTATCCGTTGTTTCCCAGCCTTAAATATGCCCTGTGCGTGTCAAATTCTCAAAGTTCTCTTTCCTCATTAAGAAATTTCAACTTTTTTTTTCTTCTGATTTTAAATATAATTGTATTATTTTTCATTTTTCTCAACGTCCTCGTTACTCCCATGTTCGGCCGTCCTGGGTATGACGATAAACTACATCCGGCAGCAATGCCTTTGATCAGAAGGTTTTGAGGATGGAACAATTCCTTAATTACTGGTATTACCAGGTCCACACTGACACGAGATGATAGCACCCTGTCAGGGTCCCAGCTATGGGCAAATACTTACCCCCCCCCAAAAAAAAGTCTTGTCAAAACACTGACAGTATAAAAATGTATTTTCTAGCAATATATTTAAAAAAAAACAGGTGTGTGTAATATATATATATATAAATCAATCCTAACGAGGATTTATTCTAATTTATCACTTTACTTAGTGCATTGAGCTCTCTACGTTTTCGTTTTGTCATTATACTCGCTTGGGTTTTTTCTTTGGACTAAGGACTCAAGACACTTGACGATTTTTTTCGCCTTGTTCTAATGATTTTAGTTTGTTTTTTTTACTTCCAATTTTTTCCTTGGGTACCAATTTGCCCTCGGGTGTATACAAGTTGAGTCATCCGAGGTTTTTCAAACGGGTAATGCTGTTATATATACACACACCTTCCAGAAATGCATTCTTTTTAGAAAAAAGAAATAAAAATCTTTCATCTGTAAGGATATTACCCAGCAATCATTGCGGCATAAGAGGAACGTTCACTCCCGTATATAAACAGGAGTTTTAAGACATTTTTATGTTTATACATTCTCTTTATAGATACAAATATTTAAGTAAATGCTCTGTTTATAATAAACAGTATTAAATAAAATTTTACCGGCCTGAATGTCCGAGAAATTTTCACAGAAAATATTCGTCCTCTGACAGGATTCGAACCTGTATCCTACACGGAACCGTCATTTAGCTTGACGTACCTTTACCGACAGAGGAGCGTTCGTTTAGGAAGATTTTACTGCTTTTTAAACTTCAATCTTCCATGAATCTCTCACGTATATTCATCTGTTCATGGCGTATCCAAATGTAAAGAAATTACGTCACACATTAGGAAAAAAGGACAGACAATTATTTCCTTATACAATTATTTAGACATTTTATATATATATATATATATATATATATAATATATATATATATATATATATATATATATATATATATGTGATACAGGTTCGATTACTGTCAGAGGACGAATATTTTCTAATGAAAATTTCTCGGACATTCAGGCCGGTAAATGTTGTTTAATACTGTTTATCATAACCAGAGCATTTACTTAAATATTTGTATCTATAAAAAGAATGTATAAACATGAAAATGTCTCAAAAATAATTGTCGGATTTTTTTCCATTTCATAAACAGGAGTCTTGGGACAGTCACTTACACACCTGTACATCAATATTTCTTCCCCCTCTGCTATGCTGCTTCTGCACAAATCCAAAGAATCGACAATATTATCGGTGCTGACTTGGCAAACGGCTTCAATCAATTCCACACCTACTGTAATATGACTTAAATGTACCTTTTTTTTTTTTTCTTATTTTTTTAAGTATTTCAAGAACGTCACTAGCACGCAGGGGGTTACGGAAAGTGAGAGAAAAGAGTGGATGTAGGGGGGGCATTGTTGAAAGGGTAAAAAAGGACAGGGATCAAGTTAACAGAAGATGGCGATTGACGTTGCATTTAAGTCTTGAAGATTGTTGTTATCAGAAAAGCAAATGAGAGGAATATAATTCTAATGTCGGAAAGTGCGCGGGGAAAAAGCTGGAGTTGAAGTGGCGGTTACATTAAACAATTTAAAATGGGTGGGACCTAAACGCCAATCGAGTAGCACGCTTAAATTCATGTAGTCGGGACACCAGGAAAAGAAACTAATCAAAGCAGTTCCCATGAAAATATTTGTAGAACACTGATGGAAGCCACCTCGCGTCTGCTTTTCTATTCATATTTTCACAGTAGTTGCTGTGATGCATTTTCCTCTTTGGTATCTTGTCATTACGAATTTAAGCGCAGTACTAGATTGGTAGGTAAGTCTCATCCTTCTACAGTTGAAATTGATGGCTGTAAACAGTGTTATTCTAATACTTTCTGCTCTCGAACTTCCATGTTGTGGAATAAGCTTACATAAAAAGACAAATTATAGAACAACACACACGCCAATGCTTATTGGCGATTTGCCTGTAACAGGGAGAAATGGGTTTTGGCCTTTTGAACCGTCTCAATACATATTAAAATCTGAGCAATCTAAACCAACCCTGAAAGTTGAAATACTCGAAAGGCTTCTATTTTTTAAAATAAATCAATAAATATATCCCAGTGATATTTGTGTCGGAATCGATTGATATCCGGCAAGATTTGAAGATGTGACGTTGTCCCCCCTGGTCGCAGCGTCGACTGTGTCGTTCGATCCCGTTCGCGGCGCCGGCTGTTCGCTCCTCGCTGCTCCAAGTGTGACGTTCTAACCCTTTGGTTAGATGAATACCAGCCTCGTCGTTCCCAACCCGCTTCCAACGCCTGGTTACCAGGGTAACTGCACTGATCTCCGTTCTGCCTACCCACGTTGTGATTAGATCTTAGACAGACGGGATCAAACAGGGATTGGGCCGTATGCAAGCTGAGTCCAACGGGGGTGAAAAATAAAAACTCACAAGGTCAAAAATGTTGAAGGAAAAGGTAACAACTTTTTATATCTAACTGCTTGGTACACAAGATTATTCCTACCTCCCGACCCGTTCTGTAGACTGTGGCACAACGCTTCTACCAGGCAACTTTAAGGCTTCGAGTTGCTTGCTCTCTAGAAATTTGCATTTCGGGGTGTGGTTTGGTTTCAACACTGGGTGCTGATCTGTTACCTGTCGTTCACGGCTGATTTATTCGCCGTCCGTGGCTGCAACTGATTTCTGTCGGTTGGGGTCTCGCTTTTATTGAGGCAGTCAAAAACTGGGGTGGGTCTGTCGGCGCCAGGGTTTATTTTGATAATTCTAAATACGTATTATTTCTGATTAGGATTTTCCATTTTCTTGGTAACTTTTCAACCCTACTTCCTTACTGTGCCTCTTGGGGGCGTATACCCGCTTCCCCCTGGTCCTTCGTATGTCAGGTGACCGCTCTCGACCAATGGGGTCCTGGTCGGGCATCTTTCCTCCTCCCTCGCACATCATGTGACCGCTTTCGGCCAATGAGGTCTGGTCGGTTGTCTTTTCCTCCTCCTTCATGTATCATGTGACCGCCTTCGGCCAATGAATCCTGGTCGGTATCTTTCCCCTTCCTTCGTGACGTCTTTAATCGGGCGTGGACAATCCGTGGCTTTGTTCTGGGGAAGAAACACCTTTGCTTAAAGAAACAAAAATTTAAATTGCCCTTTCGTACGTGACCGAAATGATATCTCGGTTTCTTTTACACGCGGTATTTGTCAAACAGTTTATCGCTAATTGGATACGATCTAAGAAAGGGATTTCCTAGACTGGGTGGCGTTTTCTTTCGCTCGGAGCTTGTTAAAAAATCTTAATTATCTCAAAAAACGCATT